GTGACTGTAACAAATGTATTTAGGCCCTAAAGGACATCACGAAATGATCTGAAACATGTCACTGCTTTGTTATTCAATGTTGGCCCTTGCTTGGAAACAAAGATTGTAGTTATAAGAAGTGCACTCACACGTTTGCGTGATAGCTGTAAGCAAATAATGACTCAGGGAACTTGATATTGCATTATTGCAATCTGAAGCCATACCTGTATTGTGTCGAACTGTAAGGGTATAAGGGCGTAGGAGATCTGTAAAAGCTGAATCTTTCATCAGAGTTGGTGGAAGAATCTGTGAGTAGTATATTAGAATGATGCTCTTTCTTCTCTGCTTATGGGGATTTTCTTTCCTGCATAGACTTCACAGATTCTTTTCTGTTCTTGCATCAGGCAAACCACAGATTAACAACAACTATACAGAGGCAAATTTATGGACATGCGACAGACGTTGCAATTCGCCCTCTGAATGAAGAAAAAGCTGTTCAAGCTGCTGCTGACCTGTTGGGTGAATTCTTTGTTTTTACGGTAATACTGAATTTCTTCTCGTGTATCATTTTAGATTGGGTCTCTGAGTTCATTATTCTTAAAGTCCTTTGTCTTGAACTTTTTTAGCGTGTAATTGATTTTTCTACCCTGTGGTTTGACTTGCTCTCAATTTGCTGTGGTGAGGATGTCCTGCCTTTTGGTCTATTGTTGTTAATAATTGTTGTATTAACAAATAACAATAGGTATGTTTCTTTTCAGTGATATTTAGAATTTGACCATGCTTGACTAACTCTGATGGTCATTGTGGGTAGTGATCCTGTCCACTTCAAGACATAAATGCCATCTTGCTTTATATTTGAGCAATTTTGTGCGTTCTGCTTTCTTTTGTTGTATTTAACTCTTTCAACAATATAAAAGTACCAATATTTTATGCCTGAAAGGACAGAACAAAACATGCTTGTCCGACAAGAAAGATTTATATATCTTAGAAGGATCTCACTGTTCTTGAATTTTTTCCCCTTTATGTAACTTTTAAAATTGAAAATATTTGTCATTAGGCTGTCAATGATTGTTCTACAATACGCTTAAGTTGTTCTACAACAAAATTTGTTGTTCTTTGTATTTAAAGAAAGTTAATTAAGAAGTAAAAGGTTTAATTTTTTATCACTACAAATGATGGTTGCAAAGAAAAACAAAAACTGACTGAATCAAATGGAGCACTTTTCTAGGCAAGAAGGAAGTAATAAGAGAGTACACCTATGAACAAATTCTATATATGGAAGTAAAAGATTTGCACCTACAGTGCAATGCTACATATGGTTAAATGAAAAATTAACCCTCTACGGACAAACTAATAACACGAAGAACTATGAAAATTAATTGAAGGTACATTTAAAGAGGAGAAAGGACCATAATATTTTGAGGGAAAAAATCAAACGGAGGGGAGGGCAAGAAAGTATAACAAAATCTTTTGGGGAAAAGTTAGGAGATAAAATAAAATTTATATAATGTTAGAAGTAAAAATGCAGTTTGTCAGAAGTTAGGGGCTACTGCTGCTGCTGCTCCCCCATTGCCTCCGCCACTGGTGATGGATATTGTGAGTTGTGACTCAACTATATCCATGAATCACGTGAAAGAGTGCAACTTGTAGAATCAACCAACAGATGGCACTTAATTTTCATGACTATATGGTGAAAAGTAGGATCTCTTCTGAAGGACGACATGCTTTATACTTGTTCTCGTTTGTTTTCAAGTAAAGGTAACAAATTTTACAGTTTTAGGCCAAATTGGAAATGGTGTATTGTTGGGTGCAAGTAGTAAGATTACCGTTCGGGAAACAAATTGTAACAAGCACAGTTGTTTGGAGGTGTAAGATGAAATTATTTACTTGTGTTATTTTGTAGTGCTAAAACTGGATGTGCATACTCTTTCAAGTTATTTGTTGTGATTCTCTTTCTTTGTCTTTCTGCTTAAGACACTATCTCATGGTCCATTTCTTTTTATTAGGTAGTCGGAGTGGCTGTTCTCTTTGAAGTGCAAAGAAATGCTAGATCAGAAGCTAGAAAGGAAGAAATGCGTAAACAAGAACTAGAGGTCTGTATTTTTTGTTCATGTAGTTTCTTTTTTCTCCTTTTCTGATGCTTTTTGTCTCTATTCTCTTTAAGATTTCTCTTTCAAAATAATTAGGCGGTATGTTCAATGGGGAAAATGATTGTCTGGACTTTTATGATGACCTATTATTAAAATAGTTCTCCATTTTGCTGTGATGAGCGCTTTTCTGTTGTCATATTCTGGTATACATCACTTTCCAAAGTCACTTGTTCCCTTTGAACTGTCTACATAAAGATAGCAACCGGATCAACTGCCAAAAAATGTAGGATATGGACATTCCCCTGATGGGATCCTGTAAATGTCCTACGCTTGTGAAATTCTAATGGTTTTGTGGACATCTCATCTGGAACGCCTTTGTTAGGTCGAAAAGAACATTATAATGAATTAAATGGCACACTGTAAAGACTTGTGAATATTTAAAAATCAAGATGGGACACATATCATAAAATTGTTTGTTTGAAGGAAGGTAAAGTGGATAAGGAGAATTGAATCTTGTTCTGTTAATGACTTATTCTTATGGTAAGTTCAATGTTCTGCACTGATCAATGCCAGTTGTTATTGTTTCCTTGTTATGGTGAGTCCTGTGTTCTGCAGTGATGAATTCCATTCGTTATTTTTTCTAATCACCTCATTTTTTAAATTTACCTGTTTCAATTTCACTAGTTCATCAAAGTCCTTTTTAAGAAGTATGGGATAGGAACACTTCCAATATCCCATGATTTTTATGGCTTACATGTGTAAGGCTATGACACTTGAAGGACATCTGGTGTGATATTTCTTTTGCTAATTGTAAAGTGAACATGAGTTGTTCAACCACATCGCTTGTTAAGAGACTTGTTAAGACTTGAACATGGCTCACCATTTTATCTGTTGAATATTGTAAAGACTGCCTATATTTAATCATTCTGATATATAGCAACTTGGAGTGCTCAGAAAATAAAAGCAACTTGGAGGACCCTGTACACTTTGATTTCCTCATGGTCTCATGGTGCATGGTCATTTGTGATAAAGCATAAATGACTGTGGAGACCATATAATGCATATGCTAAGAAAGTTGGTTGCCTTTAAACAACTCATTGCTATACTGTAGATTGCTAAATTACCATCTAGAAACATTGTGCATCTAGTACTGAAATAGGCTGCACATGTCTGCTGTGAAATTTTGATATGGCAGATTATCATGGGTTCTTAGCTTCTGTTGCTTTGGTCATTTGTGTCTGTGCAGTATGCTAGCTAGCTAGGTAAAGCCATACACTATAGCTAGAAGATGCTTAATCATATCATTCACAGGGAAGAGAAGTGCCTGTCTATGCGACATAGTTATTGTCAAGAATTTCTTGACATTATTCTTTTTGTTTTTTTTTTATTTAATACATTGTTGAGCAATCAAGCAGTAGTTTCTTGGTCCTTTTTTTTGCAGCAGAGTATCAGAGTAAAGTCCATGAAATTATCCCTTTGCTAACTTTGCGCATTTTCTTCACTAATTTGACATGAAACATGCTTATTTCTTCAATTAGTTTTTGAGCACGTAGGAAATCATGGTGTTAAACATTTTTCTGCGCAGGAAACCGAGTAGAGTTGAGGTTATTTCTCTCAATGTGAATTCCTTCTGCTTCTTTTTTTCATATGAGAAATTAATTTGTTGTCATTCATATTAGGCATTGAAGCAACGAGATGAAGATTTGTCCAAAGAAGTTGAGATTCTCAAGTACAAAGTCGTGGAACTGGAGCACCTTGTTAAAGGACGAAGGCATAATATTTTCAGCTTGACGCAAGCTGATAGCATGAATGACAAAGTTAAAACTTGATTTATTGTCGTGTCATGGCAGTAAAAACTTGTCCAATGGGAGTCGAAATACTCAGAATGGAACTTTGACCAGAGATGCAAATTTTAGGCATTTCTGAGAATCTGTAGCTGCTCTTGCCAAACTAATATGACTCAAAAATTCTTGACTCCTTGCGGGAGCAAAATCAGATAATACAAGTTGTAGAAAGATGTATGTTCACCATCTTTTTATGTGGATCAGCTGGACTAGATAAAGCGCATTTGGATATTAAACTTGCAATAGGGAGCCGAAGCAGAGTTCTGTCTCTTTTGCTCTGCATGTCTATTAGCGCGAGTACATTTAGCTGTACTCTATTTTGTAGCATTTTCCTAATCAACCACCATCATCAGCCTCTGTTTCATGTCATTCCTTCCACATTGAAATCGCCAACCAAAAACCAGAACCACTTCAAGCAATGGCTAAGCACAATATCCAGAGAGTTTATTTGCAAAATGAAAAGATTTATCATGCTATTAGACCACCAGAGTGCGAATTTCGGGGACCAAAAATCTGGTGGTTATGGTTTCTTTTATGAAACTCTTATTTTTTTTTTTTTGGTTGGTTATTGTGATTTCAATCTTTTTCTTGGTGGTAAACTCTTGCAATTTATAGGCAAAAACTAGTAAATTAAATCGGTGTTTTTTTCCCTCAATTTTCTGGTTTCAACACCATATATGATTGGGCAATTTAATGTCAATTTGACTCTGTGTATAAAAGGATTTGTTTTGAAGTGGTAATTTGACAATATGGTTTTGTTGGAGCAATGGAGCTGCAACAAATGTAAAAGAGCAATTGAAGGAAGAGTCGGGATTTGGCAGTAATATAGTAGCATTTTAAGGAAGCAGTTTTTTTAAAAAAAAAAAAAAAAAGTTCTCCTTGTTCCTTCCGGGGATTATAAAAAAAAAAAAAAAAAAGCACCAATAGAATTATAAACAAACCGAAAAAGTAGAATAAAAACAGAACATTGGAAATATTAACTTACAATTTACAGTTAAAAACAGAACAGATAGATATCGATACGTACATTAAAACATTGGAAATATTAACTACTTAAAACATTAATTGTTTCCCTAATGCAAATGAGTCAAACTTTGTTCAACGGATAGATATGAATACGGGGAATATGTGCAATCTTGGGCCACTCTGCACCACTTCCTTTGGTGCATCTCTCTGCTAAAAGAGGACACCTGGTGATAGATAGATAATTTAAATTGGTGAGGTGTCGCATTGCTTCGGCAGAGGGCAATTGTCTGAGGTTAGAGCAATTACTAGTCACCAATTTTCGAAGATTCCGAAGGCTACCCATCCACTCTGGAAGAACTTCCAACCCCTCAAACCTGCAAAGAAGTAAAGTTCCCAAGGTAGAGAGATGCTGAATTTGGTCTGGGAGAGACGTGATTTTTGGCCATCCATACAATCCAAGACTCTCCAGAGAGACGAGATTGGTGGTGGAGTGTGGCCCCGGAAAATGATCAAGGTCGTCAGAGAAGCCACCGAGTTCCAAGTACCGGAGACTAGGGAATACCTTAATTGATGAAGAAGAATTCGAGGGAACCATTGCATCTGACCACTCCTCTAGACTTCCCATGTTCCGAAGCACAAAGCGCGACAGTTTCGGAAACAGAGTGACTGGTTTCCCATCTCTATTACTACAAGAAGCGCTGCGCCTTGCATTAATATCGAGACCATAGAATTCTGCCCCAATGCGCTTCACATTGTGTAAGGAGACCATCTCTAAGGACTCGAGACAAGGCAAGTCCCCTAGTGGTGGTACTTGTTCACACTTACCCAATTCCTCCAACGTGAGGCGTACCAGATTCCGAAGTACCGTCACGCGATCCTTTGCCACCATCCACGACGGAAACCTTGAACCTTTGAAACCACTAATGGCTAAATCTTTCAAGTTTGGGTGAGGTTGGAGACCTTCCATGACACTGTTGATGTTGTCGTCACAATCTTCTTTCGTGCCATCCCATGAAAGTCTTAAACCTTGAATGCTTGATTTTTTGGACAAATTTGCTTTTGCTGCGGATTCAAAGCTGCTCACATTCTCAAGTCCAAAAATTTTTAGCTCGCCTCGGAGGTTGCGCAAGCATTCCAACTCCTCAAGTTGACATCCCTTGGCTTGGCTTATCCTGAAGTGGGGCAACGTCCGAAGATTAGCCAACTGCCCAATCCCTGGGAAAAAACATGATTGGCCCATAGCAGATGAACACTCGAAATGCCTCAAGTTAATTAAATTGCTAAACTTCTCAGGTATCTCTTTCAAGTAATACACTTTCAAGGTCATCAAATCAAATTGTAGAGCTTTGTGATGGAATCTGGCAGAACGGTGATTTTTGTTCGACTGATATCAAGATGTATTAAATGTTTCATATCACCCACTGCATTCGGGAGATGAGTAACAAACCAGCAGTCTACTATTAACACAGAAAGATATCTAGACCTTTCCAAAATGTCTTCGAGCATGATACCATCACCCCCAAAATAATAAAGCGTTTGCAAATTTGGAGGAATCCCTTCGATATTCTTTAACACCTTCCCTCGACTCCCAATGACGGTCAAATGCATAACTTCATCATCATGACTGACCACCATGCCATCCTCTGTATTTAAGAAACAATTATTTGACACTTGCAGTGAAAGATCGTGCACAAGGTGGTGCATCCGGCAGGACATGATTCCGTTAGTGGAATTCTCAGAAGTAGCTTGCAACAAAGAACTCCGAAGCAATACGTTGAAATAGTCACTGCCTATATCCTCCATTTGCAAATGACCTCCTCCCTTGGCATCATTGATCAACCCCTGGGCCATCCAAATCTGTATCAAGCTTTCTTTTTCCATTTTAGTGTCCTTCGGGAAAATGGAACAACTTGCAAAGCATTGTTTCACTGACAATGAAGGTAAGTTCTCATAACTCAGCTTCAGGGCAGACATGACTCGTTTTGCAATATCGGTCGACTCGTTCCATATTTCACTCTTCTCAAGCTTTGACCATTCCAAGGCATCCTTTTTGGAATACAACAAACCCCCAATCACTTTGATCGCTAGTGGCACGCCGCCGCACTTTTTCAGTATCCTTCTGCCAACGTCCACCAGATCTCGAGTCTTTCTTGCACCACCGTCTGCAAATGCTAGTTTTTCAAACAGCATCCAGCTATGATCATCTGAGAGGATGTCTAGATGATGCAAACGAGATGTTTGCATTGCTGAGGCTACCTCATCACTACGTGTGGTAGCCAATATTTTGCTTCCTGGAGCACCCCCAATTGCCAACAGACATATCCTCATGCGATCCCATTTCAGTGGATCCTCATTCCAAATATCATCAAGTACAAGCAAGCAACTTTTACCTTTCAGATTTTCTTGAAGCTTCCTCACCAATGCTTCCGTGTTTGTCGTGTCAGCACTTTTTCCCTCGAGGGATTGTAGCATCTCATTCAACAGCCTTTCCACTTTGAAATCATCAGACACACACACCCATATTGTTTTATCAAAGTGCTTCACTACACTGTCATTTTTTAGCACCATCTGTGCGAGGGTTGTTTTACCCTGGCCACCCATCCCAACTATTGAGATGACAGGTAAATCCTTCTTAAAGTCTGAGCTAATTAACATGCTTACAACTTGAGATACCTCAACCTCCCTTCCCACCGTTTCTGACTCGTCCACAAAAGGATCAGTCGACCGATCCTCTTTGTGATCAGCAGATGTCATGGGTAGTTGAGCTGGATGAAGCCCGATCTGATTTGCTTCTCTGTAAGCTTCCTCTAGAGATGCGCTAACATTCTTGATCTTGTTAGCCATCTCTAGACGAAAGGAAATAGGATTTGAGGAAGAAAAGAAGTTGCGTACCTTGTCGCGCTTCCGATTCTCAACCTTCTGCCGCAGAACTTCATATCCGAAGTCATCCAACACGATCTCAGCATCACGTGCTATGGACTGGAGCCTTTTGAGCCAGAGCTGCACGGTTTTGGTTGTTGATTGCTTGCATTTAGCATCAAAAATCAAAGCTTCCATCGTCCTTACATTGTCGGCAAGCTTCTGAAGGTCTTTCTTTACCCCCCATGCCCGGCTGATCTCGTCGGCAGCAAGTGGAAGTATCTTATCCAAGATCACACTAACAAAACTAAGCACGGTGTCAGCCATCTTCAAGGGAAACTCTTTAACAGATGAAGGTAAAATGCTTTGTTTGAAGTTGAACAGTTGAACTATATTTTTTGCAGGCAGAGATGGTCAACATTCAGCAGCTAGCGTTAGAAAGCAGGGAATCCATTACTTATCTTCCATTTCACTTTTAACAAAACGAAATTTCCTACCAAGTTGGAAAACTAATAAAAAATAAAAGTACTGCTCCAAGAAAAGACTAGAGATGATGTCCAACGACCAATTCAGGACCACACGGCTTGTGGGTACCATTGAAATAATTGAATCCATAGACCAAACCAACTTTTTGTTCTCGTGGCAGCATTCATGTATTTGGGTAAAGTGACTACTACACTTGCAATCGAGTAATGCAACTTTGCATATGTGACAAAACTTATCTGTGCCTATGCTTACACTACATTACCCCAATGTTCTCATAATTCATTGCCTAACGCTGGAGAGAAGTGTTAAAAACAGAAAAAAAAAAAAAAAAAAAGAAGAAGCTTTGTTTCTTTCTTGAACAATGCAATGCAGCAGCATGTATCTTCCACTTATTTTTTTTGTTTTTCTTTTCCGTGGCTTTTGGTTGGGTCTTCACATGTTAATGCAAAATATGGTGCTTATGATAACAATAACTAGAATGGTATAAAAGTCTGGTCGGATGCAATGTGGGTCTCGTTTGGCAAATGAATTTTTGAGCGTTTGTTTAAAATTTTACTGTAATTTACTATAAAAGTTGTAAAAAAAAATTTTAAGATATAAAAACTTTTAGATATTTTTAAATGCATAATTTATAAACTTTGAGAAATTTTTTTAATGTACTACTATAATTAAATTTGCTAAAAAATTTGTAACAAATAAATTAATTTGTCAAACAGGATTTTGGAACTCAAAAGAAGACATGAGTAAAAGATTCTCAGAGAAAGGGTGTGAAAAATTAAAGAAAAGATTTGCCCAACATTGAACTTTCAACCTCTAGATGCTCAGAATGGTCTATACCTATGACTAAGTGTGCCCAGACAAGATCCTACAATATATGCAAATGCCTAACCATACATCCAAATCGTGGTCTCCACCAGCACATGTTCATAAAGCAACTACTGACTCACGGCACCAACCATGAATGTGGAGGGCCGGGAATCAAATTATTCCCATCTACTGAATTGATGGAAATATATCAGCTTGATGAGAGAATCAAGAAAAGAAACAAGAATGTAAATTCCCATGGACGCATCACAACAGCATTTGGTTGTATCATTTGACAATTTCAATACCTAAAAAGATCCTTTGACTAAAAATGACAATTAACAACACAGTCAACCGAATATTGCGAATATAATACATACACTACAAGGTCTTTCATTCATTGAATCCAAGAGAAGTTTATTGGCAGACGCTATGAGCCGGAGATGTTTCGATTTTTCCTCAGTACATGCAAATATTATCAGGTACAAGAAGCTAGTGTTGAACAGAGGACCAAGAGTTTGTCTCTAACCAATTGAAGGCTATAGGGCTCAAGAACGCATCAGGAATGCCAAAGGAGCTGACTAACGAAAGTGCATGCGGTCTCAGTTCCCCACAAAGCTTTGCAACTTCTTTTCTCACTGCTGCAGCATTGTCTACTGACAGGAAGCCGTATCGGAGAAACGCAGAGTCTTCTTCCAAGGTAACGAGGGCATACATGGATCTCAAAAGACCTAATATACTCTGCAAGAAGGTTCACAATCGATTAACCATGCGCTGTAAGATGATAGTTAGCCAATGGATGTTGTTCATCTTATTTGTAAACATTCAATTATCAACTAGATACAGAAAATCGTATCAAAATTTCCATCCACACACAACATGATACTTCTCTGAAGTTTCCTAAACAAAGCCATAACAATCTGTGCTATCATTCCTCAAGAGGAGGAATTCTTCTGTTACTTGTGTTTTTCATATACGAAGGTTAAGTTGGACGCCAGAGGCTTCAGTGTAGGACACATTACACCAGAACACTTCATGGGTATGACGGCTTCTGTTTAAAACATATGGACATACAGAAACCGCAAAATGCTTATAGTTTATGCGGTGGCTATTACCTTAAGAGTGGCATCCGTTACAGTAGTCTCAGCATCCACAAAAGTTTGAAAAATTGCCCGGTCGGAAAACGCTCTGCCCAAGTCTTCAGCGAGCTGATAGCTCTGGGAAGATGGACACAGTACCCTTGAGAGAGAGAGAGAGAGCAGGTCTCACAATGGAACTTATATTTAAGAAGAGAATCTAACCATTACAAAAGCGTGTTCTTTGCTCTCTCCTTGTGCTTGGCGTTGTGAAATTTCAGAAGCAAAACGGTTCAATAGGTCTCTCTCTCTTAGACATCACATATCATGCTGTGACAAAAATGTATCAGAGAATTTACAACTTATTTCAAGAGGAATCAACTTAACGAGGAATGAAAGAAAAGCTTCATCACCTCAAAGTCAATGCTCCTCATGACAGTACTTGTTAGCTGAGAAGGTATAACGGGGGAAGTCTTGTTCATGTGCTCTAAACCCAACCCTTCGAATGGTTTATTCCGCTTTTTTGCCGCTACATATTCTGCCAAGAGTGCCTTACTTGTTATAAAACTGTAGTAAAGAACAAAACTATACTAGACAAATATAGAGACTTTGAGGCGTGAAAGCACTTTCCTTAAGGTGTTATTTGCCTCTATTAGACAAATTACCTCTAGGATACAACAAAGTCTAAGAACTATCAAATGAAAAGTAAAAGTGATTTAATTCTGTCGAAATCCTACTATTTAAAAGGATTGAAGCACCTATTCAAGGCACTATCAGAGGATGCAATCTTTATTGAATAGGCGTTTGGGTAGTTAGCCAATTAACAGATATGTTTGCAAAATGTAACCGCCAACCGCCATTAACTACCTCTGATTGACACCCTTTCAGAAAGCCCCAAGGTGCCCCAAGTGCCCAAGTGCCCTTGTCAAGATTTTATATATCTTGAAATAAGTTTCCCACCAAACTTTCCCTCCAAACTATTATCTTGGAACAAGTTTGTAAAGGAATAGGACAA